GGGACTGTTAGGTTGCAGTTGCAATACAATCTTAAGAACAAAGTACTGAGCTTTAAATGTAAGGAAAAAAGATCACCAGCAAAATACTATTTAAATAAATTTAAAACATGTTTATACACAATCAGCAAAGTATCTCTTGCAGGATATATGTATCTATATTTATGTGTTTAAAAAAAAAACCCTACAGGACTAGTGAACAGGAACCTAACTTGAGCCCCTACTATGAAGAGTCCTGATCTGTCCTCCAGCTCCCAGATCTGAGCCAGTTATAGATGCAGAGTGCTTGAAGGAAGAGGTGATAGAGTTCCCTTGAGGAAAGGGACTGCCATATGGCAATCACTGCCATAATTATATGCTATAAATCTTCCAAATCTTCAACAAAGAAACATGGTCACTAAGCACTAGGGAAAAGGAAACCCCCACTCTAGGGATATTATTAGACACTGGATCTGAGCTGGCTCTGATCACTACAGAACCAGAATCCCGCTCTGGTCCATCTGTTAGAGTGGATCCTAATGTGGAGGTCCAGGGGGCAGATGAAAATGAAGTCTTGGCCTGAATTGCTCTCAAATAGTTTGCAAACTCCACTTGTGACTGTTTCTCCAGTTCCTGAGTGTATAGTTGAAGGCGTTGTAGTAAAAATCCTTCAACCACAGACTAATGAATATTATGGTAGAAAAGACAAAGTGGAGCCTCTTTCTTCCAAAATATCAACCCAAAACAATAGCACATCCCTAAGGGAATCACAGAGATCATGCCACCCACCATCAAAGACTTGGAAGATGTAAGGGTCGGAGAGGGAGTCCTGTGACATGCCCGCTCAATTCACTTGTCTGGCCTTGAAGGAGATATACCGGTCTTGGAGACTGGCTGTTAATTATCATAAATGTGATCACATGCGGGACCACTCCAAGTTAAGTTCTTTTTACAAAAATAGTCTCTTTCTTGGAGCAAATAAACTCAACTCCGCCCCAGCAAATCACTGGGGGTGGGGAGCATCTGTCAGGACTTTCCTATTCAGTGATAAATTCTGTGGAAGACTAGAACAACTCAATAGAGGTAGGACCGCTGAGGGCTCAGACCATTCAGGAACAAAGGTTTGAAAAACCCAGCCAGGTAAACAATCGTCCAGCCATATGAAAAATTCCAGCCGGCTAAGGTCCTGGTTAAGGGCAGAGGGAACATGAATGGGTAGAGGATGAAGGGAAGCGTAAGTATCAACCAGCCTTGTGATAATTTGCAGAAAGAAGTACCAGACTACCCAGCATGTACTAGTCACACGGGTGGGGAGGAGATTACTCATCTCTGAGCATCGGTTACCTGGCCCATAGGATGTGAGCTGAGGATGAACGTATCTGCTATGCAAGGTTGTTTTCAGGACGATAATCGACATACAAGTACTTGACATTTAGTGGGTGTTCAGCGCATGGTGGTCGTCTTTTAGGGAGGCAGTAGGATCTAGTGCAAGGTGGTTAAGAGTAGAGACTTTGGGGTCAGAACAGAGATTGGAATGCCAGATGTTTGCAGAACTGGGGCACGTTGGCTAAGTTCTCAAAGTCTTAAATTTCCTCTCCTGTGAAATGGAGTTAGATTACCTAATTTTAACGGTTTTTTAAAAAACATTCAATTGAGTAGAATATGACACCGGAAAGTACTTAGAAATAGTAGCAATTATTTTTATGAGGTAGAGTCCAGGTTTCTTAAATCTAGTGGGGGAAACACACATAGGTAGACATGTTCAATATCGTGTGATAAGTGGGGAGAAACCTAGACGTATGACCAGGGTGCAGCGGGAACATGACAAAATGTGGATAATGGAGATGTTTAAGTCAATCAGGTGGACATTGTTGACAGAACCAAGCCCAGAAAGGTAGAACTAAATTTGCTCGTAGTCCCAGACATAATGGAGGAGAGAGCTGGGACTGCAATTAAGAACTTCTAACTCTTGCACAAATTTCTTTTTTGTGACAAAATGTTATATTTGTACAAGATATAAAATAAATATACCTTATTCCATTTTCCTATGCAGAATTCTCAAAAGATGAGATGTGTCTATCACATAATTATATCTTCTTGTGAGTAATAGCTAAAATATATGAGTCTTGTTTGGAACCTCTTACCTGTCACTCAAATCCATCTTTTAAACATAATACAATGTGATGTGACAATATCTATAGGAGGAACAAAGGAAGGGAAAGACATTAATTGATTGACTCAAATAGTTTAATGTCTTTTATGTGCCAGGTGTTGTTCTAGGTGTTGAGAATACAGAAGTTAATAAAAACAGACAAAAATGGAGGGTAGAAAGACAATAATAAATACACAGTAAAATATATAATAATGCATCTGCCCTTATAGTACCAATGATAAAACAGACCAGCGTGCTGATATTCCTTACACACGTTTTCAAATCTCACTGTTTAAAAAAAAGTAGGACTTAAATATACTTTTGAAAGTTAGGGTTTGTTATAACCGTTTTCTGTAGATCCAACCTCTGAGAGTGGTGGCTGTGCAGCGACTATTCAATACACGTTAGGAAAATAATAAAGCTGGGGCTGGGGTCGAGAGAAGAGAGAAAGCACTTGCTGATCAATTAAACAAGATGTATAGGGTTTTATCCAGGCAACTGTAAAGCCCTTCATAGGCAGATACAATCTCTCTTTTACTTCCCTATGGAAGGAAGAAAAAAAGAAATTTCAATGAAAGGGAATGAGAACCTCTGAAAATTATCTTAGAATAAAGCCTTGAGGGAGGGCTAGAAAAATAGTCAAGAATTTTAATATTCAGCAGTCAGAAAGTTGCAAGAAAAATGTCAGGGATTTTGCCCCATGAACTGGGTAGAATTCTCAAAGCCTGAAACTGTGCATAACATGGGAGAGTCTGGGGCACGAAGTATTGAGATTCGGAGAGAAATTAAAGTAGTATTTTTTCAGTGAAGAAAGGAAGAACCAGTATTTCTGAAACAGGAAAGAGAATGTTTATAATATTTAAGTATTTATATTTCTTTGATTCTTGTTCTAATTATATTTTGCAATCAGAGTGACCAATAGTCAGGCTCATGCTTAAAGCTTTATGATTTCCTTAGACACACGTAACAGGAAAAAGGCTGAGGTCTTCTCTGCATCTTCACTGTAATATGGTGACTCCTCCTCTGGACCATGGACCAAGGCACAGTTGGTCCTGGCATATCCTCATTTCAATGTAGACATAGTCCCAGCACTGAGCTGGTAAATTCTAGCCAACACAGAGTGACAGCAATTGTCACAGCCAGTCAGGACAATCCACAAGCAAAAAGGACTTCCAAAAAACCAACCCAGTTCCCTGGTCTTTTCCCCCAATGTTGGACTAGTGCACACTGGACGCTGTGAGAGCAGACTCAGCCCCACACGGCCGTTTCCAGCTGGATATGGAGCTCCTTCCCGGCGGGTCATCTCCTCTTGCAGCGGCTGCAGTGGTGACCCACACCCTGATCAGCCACTTCCAATAGGCAGGCAGCTTTCACAGGATTACGGAGAGAAAGGTTGGGTTAGTGGACACTCTTTCCTGTTTTTCAAAATCATGACCAGAAAAACAGCACACGTCCTAGGGATAATGAGTCGATAACAAAGACTTCTTTGGTGGCTGACGGAACGTTTATTTGGGACATTTTTCCAAATCTAAACTTCATATCCTTTGGAATGAAAATTTAAGGGAGTTTGAATAGGAGCATTTATAGCTTCTCTTTCTCGATAACTGTGACTGATTGAAAAAAAAAAAAAGTTCTCCCTAAATAGGTCTCTCTCTCAAATAATAGACAATAGATAACAAAATCATCCTCCGATTTTTGATAAAGGAATGTCCAGTGTGAGGATGAGAGACCTCACCATCAACACAGAGCACAGGACACAAACACTGCAGGTTCTAGCCCCCACAGTTAGAGGACGTCGCTGATCCAAAGCGTTTACCCTTCTATTCTGAACAGAAAGAACAGCTGAACGACAATTCAGAAACATGCCAGCTCTTCTCAACGCCCAGAAATCCCCATTTTTAAACCACACTTTAGGTTATTCAGAAATGTTCACCTCCTTGTAACAAGAGAGAAATTTCTCCAGTGGTCAGCATACACAAAGCCCATTGTGCAACTTCCCCTCCAGCAGACCACAAACAATCACACCATAAACAGTCACATCCTTAAAAGAGAGCAGCTGGGAATAACAGACTCAAAGTGGGGAGTGTGGAAACAGGGCAATGGTTTTGAAATGTAGCTTCACGTATTTTCTGAGATGCAATCCCTCATTCTGTAAGTTGTGGAAATAATAGATCACGGTTATTCAGTGCTATGCACAAGACGCTCTGTTGCTTTACGTGGCTACCTCACTTGTTCTTCACAAAATTCTATGAAAAAGATATTATTATCCCCTTTCTATAGGGGAGGAAAAGAAGGCTTACAGAGTCAGTTGCATGACTAATAAATGAATAAGGCAAGATTCAAAACCAGATCTGTCTGACTTCAGAATCAATGCACCTATTTATTTCCTCTTTTAGCAAATCCTCTTTCCCCAGAACTATAGGTACTTTCAAAAGAATAGGTCCAAGAGCTTTGCACTTTTCTCTACATATTCTTTCATTTGTTTTAACTATTGACTTTAAAACGTTTCCCCCAAATGAGTATCTTAGAATCAGGACGTGTCCCACTGGCAAGACTGGCGAGGGGGGACGTACCCCACACTGCCCCTCTGTGTCCTCAGGACGTACCCCACACTGCCCCTCTGTGTCCTCAGGACGTACCCCACACTGCCCCTCTGTGTCCTCAGCTTCTCACTATTTTGAATGTCAAGCTCAACTCATAACAGGTAATTGTATAAATTCAGACAAGCATTTAATTTCTTTTGTCCTCACATTTTTTTTAATCCTGGAAATAAGTACATTTTAATGATCCTTGAAGTCTAAATCATACAGTTCTATGACTCTACATCTAGGACTAAACTCCATCATGTTATCCCCCAACTGCTCTTTCCCAGGTGGCCTGTCTGTGAATGGACGTTTGAGCAGAGGCCTGGAGGGAAGGAGGAAGTGAGCAGTGTGGATCTCTGAGGGAGGAGCTGGTCAAGCAGAGGAAGCAGAACGGGAGGCTGATCCTGACTGGCCTGTTGAAGAAACACGAGGAAGCCAGGACAGCTGGGGCCAAGTAAGCAAGAGACAGGGCCAGGGACGACAGGTCAGAGAGGTCGGCTCGTGGACGTGCAGTCACCGAGCCTGTGCTCAGAGGGGCCGTGCACTCTGCTGAATGCTCTGTGGTGGGCACCTTGGAATTATTAATGGGATTTTTAACTACGGGCCCTGCATTTTCATTTTGTACCAGACCCTGCAAATCATGCAGCTGGTCCCGGGTCAGAGTGGAAGCAAGAGTCTATTGCTGTAGAGTCTTCTAGCCGTTGAGCCTTGGAAGGACTTCACCTCTGAAAGGACGAGAAGCCAGTGAAGGGTTTTGAGTGGAAGAATGACAAGACATGACTATTTTTCTTTTAAATTGTTCTGGCTACTGCTTTTAGGGTAGATCTAAGAGGGTGAAGGCAAAAACGGGGAGACCTGAAACAATCCAGTCAGGAGATCCCGATGGCTCGGCCTATGGTGGCAACAGTAGAGGCAGAGAGAAACAGGCAGATTCTGGGCCTGTTTTGAGGGTAAAGCCAAAAGCGTATGCTAGTGGATATGATGGAGATGTGAGAGAAAGAGAAGTCAAGGCTGATCTCAAGGTTTTGAGCCTGAGCATTTGGAAGAAGAGAGGAGAATTGCAGGAGATACAGGCTGGGGGTACGGAGACCAGGAGTTTGGTTGTGGGTGTGTTTAGTGGGAGATGCCTAGGAGACCCCTGATGTTGAGCAGGCAGTTAGCTATGCAAGTCTGAGGTTAAAGAAAAAGGTGCATGCTAGAGAGAGAAATATTCAGAGGAGGAGGAGATGAGGAGCAGCCAACGTTACAGAAGGAGACTCGAGAGGGAGTAGGACCCTCAGGTTGAGAGCAGCAGGAGGAGAGCGTCCGGCGTGTCCATTGACCTATGTCAACGCTGCTGACCAGTCAAGTAAAATGCAACTGGGGAAGTGCCGACCACTGGATTTAGCAAGATGAGGCTTCTGTGAAATGTTGTTTTACTTTAGTCTTGGGATCCTTCTCCTTATCATTTAAATGCGAAACTTCAACCACATCAACTCCTCATTCACCCTCACGCCAATATCAGCACTAATTTAGATTGTCCTTTTATCATATCCACCTTCCTCTTCCTCTTCCTCTTCCTCTCCTTCTCCTTCTTTTCTTTTAATCGTATCCAGGCTTTACCAGCACTACAACTTAGCCCAGGCCTTGTTACCTCAGGCCTGGATAACTGAGTACTCCTCTTAAACAGCCTCTGGTTTCTAGTGTCCTCACCAGCAACCCATTCTGATTAGTCATCCTGGAACAAAGATTTCTCAGGGATTTCCCAGGCTCTTTGGCTTTCAACAGAAACATACTAATAAGAGGCTTCTCTCACCGACTTCCCCAGCCCAGTGCACGGACATGTCCTCCTAACAGACAACATACATACCCTGGACCAGCACAGGTCCGCCTGAACACCACAGAAAAGAACCCGCCACTAGAGCTGCCAGTCAGAATGAGTGGGCTCCTGCATTTGTCATAATTTGATGGACTGATTCAGTCTTTCTTAGTGCAAGAGCAAGTGTGGGGCATTGAAAAATACCAACACTGATTAAATAGGACAAGCACTGATGCTTTCCAATAAATACAAGTGCACACACGTATTAGAATGGTTACAGTAAAATTTTTTTTAAAAAACCCTATGGCACCAAAAAATTTTAAAAAAACCTTACTGGCAGGGATAGGGAGCAGCTGGAGCTCTGGATCACTGCTGGTGGGAACGCAAGACGGTTTGGCTGCTTTGGAAAATAGTTTGGCAGTTTCTTATGAAGTTAAACAAATCCTTAACACATGACCCAGCAGTCCCACTCCCAGATACTTACCCAAAAGAGGCCAAAACACGTGTCCACACAAAAAACCTGTAAGTGAATGTTCACCGTGACTTCATCGATAATTACCCCAAACGACCATCAAATGATGGACTGATAAACCAATCGTTGTACGTCCATGAGATGGAATCCTACTCAGGAATAGAAAGAGCAAATTCCTGATGCTGCAACAGCACGGATGAATCGCAAAAGCATCACGCTAAGTGGAAAAGCCAGACAAAAAAGCAACACACGGGAGATCCCATTTATGTGGCATTCATGGAAAGGTCAGCTCTAGAGACAGAACAGAGACCAGCGTTTGCTAGGGGCTGAGGAGGGCAGTGACTACAAAGGGGCCAAGGGAGCTTTTCTCGGTGAAGGAAAATACAGTATAACTTGAATGGGGTGGTGGTTATAGGATTGTATAGGTTTTTCAAAGTCATAGAACTGTACTCCTAAAAGTGGGGAGTTTCACTGCATGTAAATGATACCTCAGTAAACCTGATTTCAGAAAGAAAGAAAGTTTCATGAGGGCACATACTTTGTTTATTCACTCTGCTATCCCTGGCATTCAGAACAGTGACTGGTACATAATAGGTATTTACAGGAAGGAAGAGAGGAATGAGAGAGGGAAGGAAGGAGGGCAGGAAGGAAGGAGGGAATAAGGAAGGAAGGAAGGGAGAGAGGAAGGAAGGAAGGGAGGGAGAGAGGGTGAGAGGGAGGGAGGGAGGGAGGAAGAGAAAAGAGAGTAAGAGGGAAAGAAAAAAAGAACAGAAAGAGACAGACGGGGGAAAAACGAAAATCTAATTCTGGATTTTAGTTTGAACGTTCTTCAGATTCTCTCATACAAAAATTCTGGATGTAGTATGTAGCCCATCCTAAGGGCCCCAGTTTATTAAATATTTGATTTCAAATTTCTTTCATAATCTGGAGAAGAGAGTAAAGGTTTCTGTCTTGGATTTTGTGGCCCATCTAGCCCTTTCCAATTTCTAAAACACAAACAAGGCTTAAGAAATCATATACATTTCTAGTTGAGATAATACAGATATAAAACAAAAGATAAAAATTCACAATACATTTTTTAAATTAATCGGGAGTCTAAAAGAACACAGGACAAATTTACCTTTGCATATAACAGTAGAATTTTCTATTCAAAATGCGTAAGCCTGGAGTTCAAAACCCGTCACTCAAAGTGAGATTTCTCTACACGGAATCATCAGAGCAAACATTAGTGAGTTCCAGCAACAAGACACAAAATCTTAAAGAGAACAGCCTTTAGTTAATCAGTGGGCTACGTATCCAACTTCTACTCAACTATGTCGCAGTGCAGAAGCTCTGTGTGGTCCCAAGGTGTCATGTGCGGAGGATGCCCTGCACAGAGAATGACAGCAGCCAAGCAGAACAGAGATGAGCAAAAGAGCACACTAACAGGTGCTGGCAGCTTAATATCTAAATATCAATAAACGAGCGTAGCAGTGATACCTTCCAAGATATGGAAGCGTTTGTCATTATAGAGTAAATCTTTGGTTAAAATGCTGTTCACTTCCCTTGATTCACTTCCCTTGGGCCTCCTGGAATTTGTAAATGCCCCATCTTGGAATCATTTATTATTATCAGCCTTCATCTTTCAAGTCGATGATGGATTTTCAGTAGGAAGTCTAGCCACATCCATTCCCTGGAGTCCCTCATTGTCCCCTGTGCCAGGCCCCTTCCCTGGGTCTCTGGGTGGCAACAGCAACCCTACCTTTCTGAAATGAAGTTGTAAGAAATCATACGAATACATAAATCATGGTTAGCAAATCATACAATGGGACAAAGGAAATGAATTGATTTTGCAACAGAAAAAAATACAAATGGCAAGTAAACATGTGAGAAAATATTCAACCTCACTTGAAGGTTGAATGGATGCCACTTTTTTCCTGTAAACCAGAAACATTTTTTAGTGGTACAAGAAGCAGGCACGGATGAGGATGCCACAGCAGGGGCACTTTTATAGGTTGCCATTGGGAGTATAAACTGGTACAATATTCCTGAAAATATTTTTGGAACTATTTATCAAGTGCGCCTAAACGTCCAGACACTTTGACAAGTAACTTTGCATCACCACGTAAATAATCAGAAGTGCAGGAAAAGACTTATATATTAAAACGTCAACCGCCACATTACTTGTTTGTCAAGGACTTGGAAACAATCTAAATGTCCAGCCTAAGGAGAATGGGTAAGTACACAATGGTTCATTTATAGAATGACAGTATCCAGCCTTTAAAAATGATGTTTATGAGGAGTCATTGATGAAATACAATATTTCATTCAAAAATACAATATTAAGCCAAAATAAGAGAGAATTCAAAGTTGAACACTCAGCACATTTAGTTTTGTAAATTTTTTAAACATTTCATGTAAAAAAGGATTAGACAGAAACAGCCAGAAATCTTAATACTAGTTCTCTACAGGTGGTGAGATTGTGCTTATTATTTTTCTATTTCTTTACACTTCTCTGTATATGTTAGGCTTTCTACATGAGAACATATTGAAAACAACATCAAAAAACACTTCTAGACACAAAAGAGTACGTACAGTATGATTCCATTTATATAAAATAGAATGGCAGGCCACTCGGTCTCTGGTGTTAGAAGTCAGGATGGTGGTTCCACTTCGGCCGGAGGGTGGACAGGGCAGGGAGCACGCGGGGAGGTCTGGGTGCTGGTAACGTTCTGTTTCTTCTGAGTGCTGGTTACTTAGGTATATTCACTTTTTGAAAATGAATAATTATGTTGTCTTATGATATGTATACTTTTCTGTGTGTATAATTCATTAAAAGTTTTTTTTAAGAAAAAAGTTTTATAGTTCTTTTCCGAGAAAGAGGGAAAATTGGATATTTTAAAGATCCTAGAAGTCTTTATAAAACTATGCCCAAACATAACATTGTCCAATTAATCTACTTTCTCAGTAGAGAACTTAATTCATCCCACAACAGCAACCAACTGTTAAAAATAACAGTTCAGACCTTAATACTAACTAGTCCTCCAGATTCTAACAGATAATACTAAATACCCAAAAAAGCATTTAAAGGCTGGCAAGAAAATGTTTAAAGAACGTACCTAGGCAGGAAAGGCTTATACTATGAACGTGACTCATCTCTGTGTCTACTGGTGAGAAAACGCATTGCACTTCCTTCCCAGCAAGAAGGTGAGGACACCTGTCATATAACCCTTTCTTGAAAGTGGGCGGAATGCTGGAGGAGAGTGAGAACCGCCAAGCAGGAAAGGAGAAAGAGAGGGGTACACCTCAGTGAAGTTTATCCAGTTATGGCCAGGCCCAAGGACGGGCAGGACGGGAATCTTGACAACCACCTGGTGAAGCGCCTACATCAGCACCTCAGCAGGGGTCGACGAGTAAGGACGTGCTATAGAAAGCAAACTGCAGCACTGGGGAATGAAAATAATTTTTAACTTATGAGCATTTTTACGAAAAGTTTTTAAAATTAGTAAGAAATGTGGCAGGTGGGAACTGTAACAGGAGGAATGTGTGTCAGAGGGAGAAGGGAAGATAAAGACCTGGGTCTGTGTTCCTCTCTTCCTCAACTTATTTGTTTTTAACATTAAGAAACTCTCATCATCCTCCTGAAAAGTCCCCGAGATACAAACCTTTGCTTCCTCAATCTTGAAACAGTGACTCATCTATCTAGCACAGCTGGCTCACTGCTCTCCCCTCCCCACAATCCACAGTGCCTTTGAGAGAAAGCAGCCCAGGTTCTTTGGCAACCTTTAAAGATATGCTATCTCTCAGGGGTCAGAGCTGAAGGGATTTTCCTAAGGAAAGACGGTAGCAGGAAGTGTGCAAGACTGGAAACATCCTATACACGCAGTCAAGAGGCCAGCCTTCAGGAGGAGCCAGCCAAGTCACCCGGCTTGGGACGCTGGGAAAGTCAGTTACTTGGTCTTTGCCTCTGTTACCACATCTACAAAATGATGGTGACAGTATTGGTTCCACTGTATGGGAGGAACACGTTTCCTCTACCTTTCTAGGTTCTTCCGGCTGGTCTAAGAATTAGATTGACATGAGACTGAATAACAGGATAAAATCAAAGTTTAATAACATGTATACATGGGAGAAACCCAGGAAAACTAAGTTACCAGAATAGCGGAAGCCACCCCCTTAAATATCACCTTCAGCTAAAGTCAAAGGAGGGTGTTGTGGGTAGTGGTTTGGGACTTCAAAGGGGAGGAAGGCAATTCACATGGAGAGGGAAAAGCACACGTTTGGTAAACAGATGTTCACCATGCCTTGTAGAGACAATGGGACGTGGGGAGGACTTTGATCAAATGGGCCTTGCTAGGTTCCTCCCTGTCTACCACCCCTCGTTCGTATTATACTAGAGTTGTCTATGGTGAGAGCTTCTTCCTGGAACAGGCCTTCTATCATAAGTTTTTTTAGGCAGTTAGGGGGAAGGTCAAAGTTTCTTCCTGACTGTTGTTCTTAAAAATAATCAAGCCAAAAAGATACAATTTGGGGTGGCCAATTCTGCTCCCCTACACTGCTGACAGCTTATAGTTGTGGGAACCCCATAATACAAAGGCTGTTTAAAAGTGCTTCCTCAACTGTAAAGCAAATGATGACAAGTTGCTGTTACAGTTGTTACATCAGGCAGTCAGTACTGAGAAAGGGCCGTAAGCTCAGGCCAACCATGAAGTGAAAGATGAAGTCCTGGACAAGTCACTAGACCCTGGCCCAAGCTAGACATTGAAAGGTGTCATTCTCTACCTGAAGGTGAAAGGGACTTATGGGAAAAGTCAGAAGCCATCCAGTGGCCTCTTTAAACACATGCACAGGACTGGAGAAACCATGAAATAAGTCTCCTCAGCAGCCCATGGTGCTCTCGTCCCTGCTTCCTTTCCTTACGGCCTGGACCTTGGACCCCCTCAGATGCCCAGCATCCTCCCAACAATTCTGTTTTTGGGACTAAAACAGTATATAACTCCAAAGCCTCATAATGATGCCAAGGAAGGCCAGGCCAAAGACCTGAGACCGCAAGCTTAGCAGTGTGGGGTCATGGTCAGTCTCAGGCACAGCAGTGATGTGCTCACTGGGGAAGACTGCCCAGCAAGAACTGCAACGGAGCCGGCGGGGGAGAATGAACGGTGGCACACGGCAGGCTGCTGCAGCAGCCACGCAAAAGAGCCTGAGGCCAACTGGGGCCACAGACGTGCAGAGAGAATGGCAGAAAGGAAGGACATCATTTTCTAGTCCAGTGGGTTTTAATTCGAGCCACAGGTGTGATTAAAAATTCTCTAGTAGTCACATTAAATAAGTACAAAAACGTTACAAAGAAACAGGCGAAATTAATTTTGATAATATATTTTATTTAACCTAATATATTCGAAATATGATTATTCAACATGTAACGAATATTAGGAAAATATTACTAATATGTTTTACTTTTTTCTTTTGTACGAAGTCTTCCAGATCCGGGATACGATTTGCACTTACAGTGCATCTCTATTTGGAATAGCCACAGTAAAAGTGCTCAGTGGCCTCGTGGAGATAGTGGCAAGTCTAGACTCTTAAAACATCTTTGGATGTTTTACTGTTTCTCATTTCCTAACCTCCAGACTGGACTGGGTTTCTGGATTTGCAAATCTAAATCATCATCTTTTAAAAGTAGATCATATACCCAATTCATTTCTTGTTTCAAAATCTTCCATTTAAAAGAGAAGAGTCCGTTCACATAAATCTGGACTCAAGCAATGTTTACCGTGAGTGTTTTAGCTAAAAACTACAATTATAGCTCAACAAACTACCCAGCTCCTCTTCACTGCTGACACATTCACACACACATTTTAAACCACAGAGTTGAAAAAGCAAATCTTTTGAAGTGATAATGAAGTAATGACTAGAATTTCACACCTTCTAAAAAGGAAACTCTGAGAAGGTTTTTAAACTCAGAGGGTTTTTAAAAACAGAACTATTTAAACTTCTAGGCGCTAATTCAAAACCTTCCCAATTTTTTTCTAGATAAAAAATGAGAACAATTTTTACCACCAAAGGATTTATTTTCGTTCATTTTCCTAAAGAAATAAAAAAAATGACAGGTTTAATACAGTCATCATTACAATAACCATTTTATAATGAAACTACTAAGTTGCTGACAATTTTAAGGCGATGATAAGAGAGAAACTCAGATTGTGTTTCCTAAGAGGTTGAGCACAGCTCACAGTGCCTCAAGGATTGGGGTTTTGTCTTCGTCCTCACTGCCAGGAACGGGGCCCAGGGCCTGCAAGGCAAGATCAGGATGCCCTTCACCTCCCCCATTTCTCCTCTGCTCAGACTTCCAATTTTCCTGAGGTACCACACCCAGAATGCACATGAAAACTGTACCGGACACCAGTTGTCTTCTTCCTGAAGCGGATTCTACTAATTTGCCTTTTTCTGGATGTTTTGCTTCCCAGAGGTAGTTGGAGCCAAGTTCAAGTGTGTGGCTAGGCAGTCAGGCCTTTTCTTCCTCTTCCCAGCCCGCACCTGGGAATCGGGTTCTGTGCCGGTCGCTCCCTCCTTCCTCAGCCCACTCTGGCACAGAGACCCCCGAACTGCAATAGGAAGGCCCCGTTCTGGCCGTCTCACACACCAACACCAGCGGTGGGAAAAATCCATGTGCCACCAGATTGTGTTATCCTGAGAAGGTGCCCAGAGTCTGTTATACTCAGTGTCTCTCTTGACAAAAAATGGGCCACAGAACAAATAGAGTAGTTGTGATGGTTAATTTTGTGTGTCCACTTGGTTAGACCACAGTGCTCAGATGGTTAGTCAAACATTATTCTGGGTGTTTCTGTGAGGGTAATTTTGGATGAGATTTACATTTAAATTGGAGACCTTTGAGTAAAGCAGATTGCCCTGCATCATGAAGGTGGGCCTCGAGTAAGGGTCGGGGTCCGCTCCCCTGACCCCATGAGTGCAGTGCAGCAGGGGAGGCTGGGAGGCCTGTTGCGAGAGACAGCCACAATGTTCTGGGCAGATCCTCATGCTTCCCGGGGTTGATCAGAAAGAGCTGCCGGCACAGTCTATGAAATCACCAACTGAACTTTGAAACACTAAGCATGATTGTATAAGTCGGGATTCTCCAGGGAAGCAGAACCAATCGGGTGTGTGAGTGTGTGTGTGTCCAGGGTGGGGGAGCATTTATTTTAAGGAATCAGCTCACATGATCATGGAGCCTGGCAAGTCTAAAATCCCTCAGGCAGGAGGTCCAGGGAAGAGCCGATCTTGCAGTTCACGTGGGAAGGCCGTCCGCTGGCAGAATTCCTTCTTGTGGGGAGGTCAGGCATTGCTCTGTTAAGACTTGCACCTGAGGGAATGAGGCCCTCTAATGGCTGGACCTCTGTCCATCATGGACCCCCTGCCAGACTCCCCTCTCTTGGTGACTTTCTCTCAGGCTTGGCTGCTCCCGTCGGCTGCCCCTCTGATCACCGTCTGTGTTCCTGAGTCCCAATTGCAGGCAGGGTTCAAGGTCATCTCAAGAGGTTCCCGGTCCCGTCTCAATCAGAAGATGTGGCTCGGCCCCTGTCTAAGGCTCCTGAACGTTTCATGACAGTCAGCACGTCCCCAGCCTTCTGTGACCACTCTCAGCCTGCTTGTTCCACGCGTTCTAAGGGGGTGTAGCAGGTGGTCTCACCCGAAACCACCAGCCAGAGTCTCCGCTTCAACCCCACTAAACAACCAAAGTTAACGTCAAGAATGTCGAGATGGAGCGGGCTTGTGTATGGAGCATGCTGGGACTGCGCCAGAGGAGAGAGGATGAAACTGATCAGATGATGCCGAGAAAAGAGACACACTGGCCACGATTTCTCAAGCACTTTCTCTGTGCCAGGCACTGCACCACACTCTTCCACGCAGTCCCTTGATCCTCACATCTGCCCTATTGGGGTGCATGTGACTGCAACCCCCACTTCACAGATGAGGAAAATAAGGCACACAGAGGTGAAGCCCACGGTCACCAAGCTGTGAAATGAGGGGCTGAGATTTGAACCCAGGTGGTCTGGGTTCCCACACTCTTCATTAACCTTTGCGTTCTCCGGCACAGGGACTAGATTTGTGCATCATCAGGAAAGGACATCCTCTCCCCCTGGGACTCTGCTGGGGACACCCTCCCAAAACTCCACGTTTTTTCTATGTTTCCATTATAACCATCCTCTTCTTCTTCTTCTTCTTCTTCTTCTTGGTGAGGAAGATTGTCCTTGAGCTAACATCCATGCCCATCTTCCTCTATTTTGTATGCGGGACACAGCCACAGCATGGCTTGCTGAGCAGAACCCTTGAACCCTGGGCCACCAAAGTGGAGCTTGTGAACTTAACCACTATGCCACTGGGCAGGCCCCAACCATCCTTGTCTTTTGATGCA